GGGGGTGAGGAGGCANNGAGGGGAGGGGAGAGGGGGATGGGGAGGATGGGAGTGGAGAGAGGGGGGAAGAGAGTGGAGAGGGGGGGGGGAGTGGAGAGCCACAAGAATGAACAGGTGAACAAGATTGAAGGGCGAATGTTGTTGCACTTGTTGTACATGGATCGAGAGGTTCCTCACAGCCCAGCACGCAGCAGCAGCAGGAGCAGGAGCGGGAGAGGGAAGTAGCTCACTACGTTCCAGAAACAGCCCAGTCCTCATGACCGAAATGTGGAGAGGGCCACCGTACACCGTACATCGTACATCATACACCGTACACCGTACATCGTACACGCAGTTAACGTAACAACGCTAAACAACAGCAAAAGAAAGAGGAGGAATGACCCGGGTTTAAATGCGGGCCTGTTTTTCTTACACTTAAGTTTCTGTTAGTAAAAGCAGCAGCAGCAGTAGCAGCAGTAGCAGCCTCCTCTCCGCATTCCCGTTCCCACCTGCTGCAGGTGGGCCGACCTCCGCCCCGTCCTGAAACCCCCCACTTCCTCTTGCACCATCATCACCATCACCACCATCATATGACTCACCTTCCCTATCCCCTCCTCGCCCCTCCCTCCCCCCTTTTCCAGAGCTGTTGATGGGTCGGCCCTGGACCGACTGGACAGTCTAGGAGGGGCAGGGGGAGGGGCAGGGGGGGAGGCGGGACCGGGTCCCGGATCTGTGGCCTCCGGGGGGGGCGGGGGCGGGGGCGGGGGCGGAGGGGGTCTGGGCAGCGGCGGCAGTTTGCGCACGGTGACTCTGGCCACCAGCCGCCTGCGGGCGGTCGCCGACCCGCTCACGCTCATGCTCACGCAGCTGCACAAGGTGGGGGTGGGGGTGGGTGGGTGGGGGGCGAAAGGGGTGAAACGGGGGAAGGGGGGTGATGGGTCCTTCCGTATGTTCGTCCGTATTTCCGCGCACTCTTCGTCCTTTTTGTTGGTGCATGCGTGGTTGTGGCGGCGCTGTGGGGATGTAGGGGTTGGTGCCCCTCACCCGCCT